TACCATTTAGCGTTTCTATTCTTATTATTACATGTACATGTATATTAAATAAAAACATATTTCTGGTTGCAAATACTTCGTCATTTTTTAATGTACAAATTCGCTAAAACAAAATGTGCAGTTATGAAATAAAGAAAAGTACATGGGTGTGCATTTAAATCTGCTATTGAAGAAAAAAGCTGATTCGATCGTCGTAATATTTTGCCGATAGTAAGTAAAATGAATTCTTGAATAAATTTATTGTTTATGGCAACATTGTTAATTAAACATTCACAATTCATACCGTATTATTATTTTTTCAGCAAACTTTGCAATGTTTAAAGCAGAGATCATCTAAATTATATAGTTATCGGCGTACTTTAACAACGACCGCTTTCGTGGTGAAGCCGTGACTAAATGATTATTAAACAGAAAACAAAATTATTATAACAGTCCATGTTAAAATCTCTGTTTATTTATTTCTTGTTTAATTACTTAATTGCATGTACCTTGTCTGCCTTTGCATGCTTTACAACAGGGATAGTGTCAACCAATTAGCCGCGCTTCACTGACCACGCGCACCTGTGGCGGTTTATCGAGATAATTGACACTTAAAAATGGACGTTTGTTGTGAAAACAGGGTGGCGGATGGCGGTATGCGAATTTGGCGTTATAAAGAGAATTTTATATAGCAGGAAAAACGTTCTTGGGAAATCATGGCGGTATTGCGAAAATGGCGATGAATCGAATGGCGATAATTCGAGAATTGACTGTACATCATTTAACAAAATTCATTTGTGAGACAGACCTTTTTCTCCAGTTCTGCATTCACTTTCAGAAATCTTTCCTCATACTCCCTCTTTTCTCTGGTGACTGCTGACAGCCTCTTCTTGTAGGACTCCACCTGAAGCACGGGTATAAAAAATTTATGAAAATTGTCAACTCTCAAATATTAATATCAATTTTCAACTAGAACTGTCCAAATGGGACAAAATACCCCCCGCTGGGTTTATCAGAAGTAAGTTTTTCCATAAGAAAGATATGAACCGGACACGAATTATGAAATTTTTCTTCCAGTGACCTTGAACTTTCCCAAATGACCTTGGGTCAAGGTCATGACACACCCTTGGGTCATGGGCAATCTTTGTGTGAAATGACAACCTACCAAGTTTATCTATAGGAAAGATATGGACTGGACACGAATTATGAATTTTTCTTCCAGTGACCTTGAACTTCCCCAAATGACCTTGGGTCAAGGTCATGACACACCCTTGGGTCATGGGCAATCTTTGTGCGAAATGAGAACCTACCAAGTTTATCCATAAGAAAGATATGGACCGGACACGAATTATGAAATTCTTCTTCCAGTGACCTTGAACTTCCCCAAATGACCTTGGGTCAAGGTCATGACACTACTTTAGGTCATGGGCAATCTTTGTGTGAAATGACAACTACCAAGTTTATCCATAAGAAAGATATGGACTGAACACGAATTATGAATTTTTTCTTCCAGTGACCTTGAACTTCCCCAAATGTCCTTGGGTCAAGATCAGGATACACCCCTGGGTCATGGGAAATCTTTGTGTGAAATGAAAACCTACCAAGTTTATTCATAAGAAAGATATGGACCGGACAGTAATTATGAATTTTTTCTTCCAGTGACCTTGAACTTCCCCAAATGACCTTAGGTCATGGGCAATCTTTGTGTGGAGTAGTAGATTCTAATGTCCCTCTGTAAGAAAGATATGGACGGACACGATTGCACAGACAGACAGACAGACGGACAGCTAGACAGACAGATGGACAGACGGACAAGGTGATTCCTATATACCCCCCCAAACTTCGTTTGCGGGGGGTATAAAGTTCTAATGTCAATTCTTTAGAGACAGACATGTACAGCATTATGACCCTTAGCAGTATAATTGCATAACTAATGTCAATTCTTTAGAGACAGACATGTACAACATTATGACCCTTAGCAGTATAATTGCATAGAATCTTACTTGTATCTTGAGTCGATCACTAGTGTCTTGAATCAGTTTAATTCTTGTCTCCATTTCTTCCTGTAAAATGAAAATCAACATTGTATAATTATCAAACCCATTTTGATTTACAAATTATTGCTTAAACATGTGCTAAAGACTTGGATAGTTACTTTAAAAGACTTAGCAGAGTTAAAAGACCTTCAAGACAGATGCTTCTTGTACAGTTATGTTGCCACATGTTCTTTTCTTAAAATCACATTAGCAAATAATTTTGCCCCATTTTAAAACAGTTGTTCTACAAGAGAGATAACTCTTCTTTGTTGAATTCACACTTTTCATAGATTGCCCATTGAAAACGATGGTGAAAAGGGGCAAATAAAAAGGGGCACAATTTCCCTGTCTTGCAGTATAAGTACACTTCAGACTCTCACATTAGCGTTTTGTTCGGACTTGGCATTTGTCTGTGCCAGCTTTAACTTGACTCTCTGGTCCTCCAGCAGTGTCCTCTTCTGATTATTGTCTCTCTCCACTCGGCTTATTCTGAGTAAAAAATGTGGCCATTATGTCAATTCTCAGATAATCACTGCTATGTGTACATAAAACAATCATTAACTTAGTGGATAAATATAGGAGGAAGGAATGATCCAGGGTCATGTATTATAGAGCCTCTTTAACCGCAGTATGAAATATTTTTCTCTTTGATTAACAAATGAGAAAAAAAAGTTTTAGGAAGGAAATTTTTTAAAATGATGATGGTACTTTTCCTGCAGAGTCCTGATTTGTTCCTGTTGTTGTTCGTTTTCTTGTTTAAGCTGCCTCGCCTGATTGGACTGTCTACACAACTCATTGGAAGAGGCCTATAAAATCAAACAGCATTTCTTACTCCATACAACTAGTAAATAAAGTATTCAAACAAACAAATGTAGTGTAGTTAAATATTCAATAACTATCCCGTAATGTTGGCAAATAACTTATAGATTACGGACCTTGGTGTAAAATGACCCTTTATAACAGAGTTGACCTACTTTGAGTCTGGACTCGAGGATCTTCCAGTCCTGTTCTGTATGTTTGTCTGTGGCTGTTGTGTGGCGATTCTCCTCCACCAGCTGAGCTTCTAAGGCTGCCTTCTCTTGTAAAACCTTGTCCATGTCTGTTGTCAGTTTCTGTAAGTAACAAAATTAATGTAGGATGGTGTCAGAACGCCCATATATTCTTGTGTATTGTACATTGTAATCTAAGATATTTGATTACTATCTTTCTAGTTACTTTGGAATGTCAATGTTCTGTTTGGCCATTCTCAGTCTCTGATTGATCCGACTTACCTGGATGTTCTGTTAAGCCATTCTCAGTCTCTGATTGGTCAGATTTACCTAGATGTTCTGTTTAGCCATTCCCAGCCTCTGATTGGCCAGACATACGTGGATGTTCTGTTAAGCCATTCACAGTCTCTGATTGGACAGATTTACCTGGATGTTCTGTTTAGCCATCCTCAGTCTCTGATTGGTCCGACTTACCTGGATGTTCTGTTAAGCCATTCTCAGTCTCTGATTGGTCCGACTTACCTGGATGTTCTGTTTAGCCATTCTCAGCCTCTGATTGGTCAGACTTACCTGGATGTTCTGTTTAGTCATTCTCAGTCTCTGATTGGTCCGACTTACCTGGATGTTCTGTTAAGCCATTCTCAGTCTCTGATTGGTCCGACTTACCTGGATGTTCTGTTTAGCCATTCTCAGCCTCTGATTGGTCAGACTTACCTGGATGTTCTGTTTAGTCATTCTCAGTCTCTGATTGGTCCGACTTACCTGGATGTTCTGTTAAGCCATTCACAGTCTCTGATTGGTCCGACTTACCTGGATGTTCTGTTAAGCCATTCTCAGTCTCTGATTGGTCCGACTTACCTGGATGTTCTGTTTAGCCATTTTCAGTCTCTGATTGGTCAGATTTACCTGGATGTTCTGTTTAGCCATCCTCGGTCTCTGATTGGTCCGACTTACCTGGATGTTCTGTTTAGCCATTCTCAGTCTCTGATTGGTCCGACTTACCTGGATGTTCTGTTTAGCCATTCTAAGCCTCTGATTGGTCAGACTTACCTGGATGTTCTGTTTAGCCATCCTCAGTCTCTGATTGGTCAGATTTACCTGGATGTTCTGTTTAGCCATTCTCAGCCTCTGATTGGTCCGACTTACCTGGATGTTCTGTTTGGCCATTCTCAGCCTCTGATTGGTCCGACTTACCTGGATGTTCTGTTTAGCCATTCTAAGCCTCTGATTGGTCCGACTTACCTGGATGTTCTGTTTAGCCATTCTAAGCCTCTGATTGGTCCGACTTACCTGGATGTTCTGTTTAGCCATTCTAAGCCTCTGATTGGTCCGACTTACCTGGATGTTCTGTTAAGCCATTCTCAGTCTCTAATTGGTCCGACTTACCTGGATGTTCTGTTTAGCCATTCTCAGTCTCTGATTGGTTCGACTTACCTGGATGTTCTGTTTAGCCATCCTCAGTCTCTGATTGGCCAGATTCACCTGGATGTTCTGTTTAGCCATCCTCAGTCTCTGATTGATCCGACTTACCTGGATGTTCTGTTTAGCCATTCTCAGCCTCTGATTGGTCCGACTTACCTGGATGTTCTGTTTAGCCATTCTCAGTCTCTGATTGGTCCGACTTACCTGGATGTTCTGTTTAGCCATCCTCAGTCTCTGATTGGCCAGATTCACCTGGATGTTCTGTTTAGCAATTCTCAGTCTCTGATTGATCCGACTTACCTGGATGTTCTGTTTAGCCATTCTCAGCCTCTGATTGGTCCGACTTACCTGGATGTTCTGTTTAGCCATTCTCAGTCTCTGATTGGTCCGACTTACCTGGATGTTCTGTTTAGCCATTCTCAGTCTCTGATTGGTCCGACTTACCTGGATGTTCTGTTTAGCCATTCTCAGCCTCTGATTGGTCAGATTTACCTGGATGTTCTGTTTAGCCATTCTAAGCCTCTGATGGGTCAGATTTACGTGGATGTTCTGTTTAGCCATTCTCAGCCTCTGATTGGTCCGACTTACCTGGATGTTCTGTTTAGCCATTCTAAGACTCTGATTGGTCAGATTTACCTGGATGTTCTGTTTAGCCATTCTCAGCCTCTGATTGGTCAGATTTACCTGGATGTTCTGTTTAGCCATTCTCAGCCTCTGATTGGTCCGACTTACCTGGATGTTCTGTTTAGCCATTCTCAGCCTCTGATTGGTCAGATTTACCTGGATGTTCTGATTAGCCATTCTCAGCCTCTGATTGGTCAGATTTACCTGGATGTTCTGTTTAGCCATTCTCAGCCTCTGATTGGTCCGACTTACCTGATGTTCTGTTTAGCCATTCTCAGTCTCTGATTGATCCGACTTACCTGGATGTTCTGTTAAGCCATTCTCAGTCTCTGATTGGTCCGATTTACCTGGATGTTCTGTTTAGCCATTCTCAGTCTCTGATTGGTCCAACTTACCTGGATGTTCTGTTTAGCCATTCTCAGTCTCTGATTGGTCAGACTTACCTGGATGTTCTGTTAAGCCATTCTCAGTCTCTGATTGGTCCGACTTACTTGGATGTTCTGATTAGCCATTCTCAGCCTCTGATTGGTCAGATTTACCTGGATGTTCTGTTTAGCCATTCTCAGCCTCTGATTGGTCCGACTTACCTGGATGTTCTGTTAAGCCATTCTCAGTCTCTGATTGGTCCGACTTACCTGGATGTTCTGTTTAGCCATTCTCAGCCTCTGATTGGTCAGATTTACCTGGATGTTCTGTTTAGCCATTCTCAGTCTCTGATTGGTCCAACTTACTTGGATGTTCTGTTTAGCCATCCTCAGTCTCTGATTGGCCAGATTTAAGTCTGCCTGCTGCTGTTGATTCACTTCCTTCTGTTGCTCCAAAGCCTTCACAGCAGCTCCGCGAGATTCTCGTAGAGTAGTGATCTGCAAATCAAACAATTCTTTACAATATTTTTTTTGTCAGCAGAATCTCTTCTCATTCAAATTTGTTATGGAAAATGTTCAACATGAAAGCCTAATATCACTGTGTAATTACACTGTGTAATGAATGAACATTTTATGGTTTTTAAAAAGACATGCACACAGAGATGAGCAAGAAATCTTACACATTCCACCAAATGGGGGAAAAGATACATGTATAGGGTTTATATAAATGTAAAGCTGAATTTAACAGATTCTGTTCTGTGAAAAATTAAGAACACGGGAAATACATAAGTTTAGTAGTTTTGTTGTGACTATCTACATTATTTAATATACCAACACCAAAAAGAATCCATTTGTTTTAAAAATTCCACAAATCGTATAACTATGGAAGACCATATCTGTTAAGTATTATATAGTCAGAATCCAGGTTACACTATACCCTTGTAAAATTTGGCCTCAAACAATACTTACTGAAAACGTTAGAGACCCAACCTAGCAAGTGAGGGATATTTAGTTATCCAAGAAAAAAATATCTGAGAAGATATGTATGAAGGATATGAGAACTTGTATATCAAAAGAAACCAACACCTGAAAGTTGAAATATATAATTTATGCTGTAATAAGATTGGCATTGTGCATCTACATCCGTAAGTGACCCATACATGCCAAGAAGTAGAACATTATTAATACAAATAGCAGTGTTTTTATAAATATAATAGAAGAAATTTGTGCAATCTTACTATCTAAAAGACAGAGATTACTTATAAATCCTCTATTTAACAGAAAAACTTCCACTTACTTGCTGTGTGAGGTAGCCTACACGCTGTTTGAGCTGTTTAGCTTGTCGGGCGAGCTGGTTGCTGGCTTGAACCCTCTGTTCATAAGCTCGCTGCTCTTGGATCCTTGGGGATGGAGAGAATTCCTGGACTGGTGCTTTTAGTGATGTACCTACTTCTTTGAGTGTTACTACAACATCAGAAAGATGTAATAATAATACAGTCAAGAACAAGAATTTTGTCTAACATTTTAATTCAATGTGGCATTTACATAAGACATATGGTCTTGTAGGGGACAGTAGGGAACTTATACTGCCTCGCTGGTGAGCTAGCTTTTCTAGTGATGTGCTAGATCCCTCTATTTCAGGTAAGTTAAACAGCGAGTCTGTGCAACCCTTGGATCGGTGACCTTTCACTTTACAGTCTTTTTCTTTTTCTTCAAAAATTTGAAAAATAATTGAATAAAAATATGGCTCCAGAAGAAAGCATACCTCTTTTATTGTCAGTTACTCTGGCAGTATATGGACGTGAAATACCTCGGTTACGATGATGTAGGTTTCTTATTCCACCTCGTCTGTTTCTTAAAGAGGACATCTTAAAACTCATAGGTCTAAGGCTTCTTTTAATCTGAAAGGCATAATTATACAAACAGAAAGAGGGTTAAAAAGTTAATCTGTTTAATACAGTGCTGAACATAGAAAAATAATAAAAATATATCAATTTACTTTCTCCATGTCATGTAGAAAATAGTATAATCACATAATTTACGTCAAATGTTCGTCTATTTACCCCAAATAAACAAAAAATTATTATTTAATGTTGGTTTGAGACTGTTCTTCATGATCCAAAGTAAGAAATCCAGAGCTATACATTTATATTAGACAGTTGTCTTACTGTTTGCCTGTGGTCCATGCTCTCATCACTAGGAGGCGTGGTCTGTGATTGCGAAATATCCACAATGGTCTGACCCAAAGAATCACTCTCTGTTTCTTCATCACTGCAAAAGAATCAGAATATTTACATCCACTGAATATTTTCTCCTTTATTTCTAAAGAAATTCATTGCCGTTTATCAGTTCATGAACAACACTAGGCATATCACCTGTTCAGATTTCTTGATCAGTGGCTGTTTCATCAATGAAACGTACTATGACGTACATATCAATGAAACAATAATTAATCTTTTTTAAATCCTACTTTAAATGATTATTTATACAGCTATAAATATAGAAAATAAAATCTCTTTCTTAACGTCACAGCTATTGCAGAAAAAATTTACATAACCCGCTTCCTGATAAAAGACAAACTGTTCACAACTTTATTTGAGAAAAGACAAACCGTTAGCCACTTTTCTTTAGAAAAGACAAACTGTTAGCCACTTTTCTTGAGAAAAGACAAACTGTTAGCCACTTTTCTTGAGAAAAGACAAACTGTTAGCCACTTTTCTTGAGAAAAGACAAACTGTTAGCCACTTATCATAAGAGTAAGCAAACAGATAAAGTATTCTTGTGAATAAATTTTAATCAGAAAATCTAACTTGAACACCTAGATCAGGTTAGCTTATTAGAAATTAAATGATATGACTGCCGTCACGAGAAAAGGGCCCTTAAGGTCAAATTTTCATAAATTGACTTTTTGGGAAATTTTGATAGCCGGACTCTTTCTGAATGTAAATATACATAAATATTGAAAATATCTCACTTTTTCAGTATTTTATAAGCATTTTAGTATAAGGCGCTTCAAAACAACTTTGACGTTACTCACTGAAAACGTAATGACGTCAACTGCGTCAAATTCAATTTCCAAAAATTCTTAAAATAACGTTATTTAAACAACCTCAATCGTTTTGAAAATTATAAACTTGGGAAATTATTTTTTTTTCTTCCAGGCGACTAATATGTGACTATTTCTAACGGATTTCATATGTTATTACTATTTTCATACTATTTTAGAACAGATCTAGTAATATCGTAAAGGGGGATGTGGCTCTAGAAAAAATCTAGGAACGGTTTATAATATATTCAGTAGGAAAAGTAATACTTGTTTAAATCCATAGGAATTATTCTTTTGAAATAAAATAATCTAACTCAATTATAATATATATATAAAGCACTTGTAACGCTTAAACATCGTGAGAGAGAGAGAGAGAGTCCCAGAAGGACACCTCGCTCAAAACGGGGCATTCCCTCGCAAAAAAAAGCACTTCGATCCCGATATAAAAAAGAAAATAATTTTCTTATCAGTCATCAAAATTCATCATTCACTCACCATCACACACACGCGTAATTTTTTACGCCACAACTGTTACGATAGGATCAAAACACCATATATTTGCTGTATCACCGAAAAATGAGAAATAAATGCAGATACGCCAAGTATGTAAACTTGTTTTTAAAAATGTTTATTCCGTTTATAAAAAAAAAAAAATATGAATGCATGAATTGAATTCATGTTCGCTACTTCCATGCAAGCGGATTTTTTTTAAAGTTTACTTTTTTGAATATTTTATTAAAAATGTTTAAAGCACTAAGCTGCAATTGTTTATACAAATAATTTTTTTGCCTGTATTAGCTATATATGGAGTAAAAACGTAAAAGAGAGGGAAATGATGTCAAAGGATTGTCTAATGAATGGTTTATAAACCATGCGTTAAATTGAAACTTTCTTTGAACTTATACCTAAAATTGAAACTGTCTTTTAACTTCTTATTTTTTAAAGTAAATCACAATTAAAATCGGTCACAATTATTTCTGCACATTCACCGTTTTTTTTTAATTTGAGGCACCTTTACCCTGATTCACTTGAACATAACATTTGTATATTTTTCACAAGGACCGCTATATTATAAACTTAAAACAAGAGGCCCATGGGCCACATCGCTCACCTGATTAACTTGGGTGATGCATTTCTTAAGCAGATTTCCCCTCTTGCTATACCTATCATAACCCCCTCCCCTCACATGATTTTAATACTTTAGAATCTACACTAACCAAAGATGCTTCCTCATAAGATTTGTTAAGATATGTTCTATACATTTTTATGTAAAGTTGGTATTCCCTATTTAGGCCCGTTCTAACCCCGGGTGTCATGATTTTAATATCTACACTACCCAAGGATGCTTTCACATAAGTTTAGCTTTCCTGGCCCAGTGGTTCTTGAGAAGATTTTTAAAGATATGTTCTATATATTTGTATGTAAAACTTGCATTCCCTATCGTTGCCCTGCCCTACCCCTGGGTGTCATTATTTTAACAATTTAATATATACACTACCCAAGAATGCTTCCACATACGTTTCAGCTTTCCCGGCCCAGTGGTTCTTGAGAAGAATTTTTAATTATCCCACCCTATTTTTGTTTTTCTTGATTATCTCCCTTTGGAAGGAGACCAGGCCCTTCATCTTCACAATTTAAACTCCCCCACACCCAAGGAGGCTTTGTATTAAGTTTGGTTAAATTTGATCAATTGGTTCTTGAGAAGTTGAAAATGTGAAAATTTTAGAGACAGATGGACGACGGATAAAAATGTGATCAGAAATGCTCACTTAGAAGAGTAAAAAGAGACAGTTTAGTCAGAATTTTGAATAAGGACAGATAGTATCGGGGAGGAATTACCCTCTTCCCCCCAACTTTCTGTTGCAGGGTTGTCTAAACTCCAGCAGATGGGCAACTCCCCCACCTATATTGCCTTAATTACATGACTATTTTTCCATTTCAAACACAATGTAGCTATAAGCAAGACCTCCAGACCCACTTCTACCATTTCATTTCCTCTTTCTACTTCAATTTTTTGGGACAACCTTGTGTTGTATAAAAGATTTCTTTAATTTACAATAAAGAAGTGAATTATCAAGGAATTAGTCTACTTTTTTTTTTTTAGATTAATTGAAAAATTGAGGAAGTAAAAATTAGAAAATGAACAATAACTTTAAGTTATAAGTGTACTATGCTCCCTTGAAAAATATAATATCTTATTGAAATCTATGAATCATATATAGATGTATTCAAAAGAAAAATAAAACAGTCAATAGGAAATAACCATTTATTTAATGAGAAAAAAAAAAACAAAAATATGCACATTGCATAAAAACAATTTTTCTAGTCTAAATAAAGATAAAAAAAAACTAACAACAACAAAAAATTCGAATGTTAAAAGGTATATTTTACATATACAGTAGAAATGTAAATAAATATGAAATAGGAAATGTTACCTGACAAATAAAAAATAAAAGAACAAAAATGTTACCTGACAAATAAAAAACAAAAGAACAAAAATGTTACCTGACAAATAAAAAACAAAAGAACAGATGTGATGTGTAATAAGGAACAAAAAAAATGAACACTTAATTATGAGTTATGAAACATAAAAATAATTGCCTGTAATTACAGATAAGGAAAAAAAAAAGAAATATAAAAACAATTTCACATGAATAATACGAAAATGTACAGTTCTAGTAGTATAATGAAAACAAATGAAGCAATTTGAGTTACAGATTCTATATCAATAGTTTGATGTCCAAGTTTTGCTATCCTGCATAAATGATAAATTGAGTGAATTTGACAGCAAATATGAAGTTGTTGGATATATAGGGAACAACAGAGTTATGTCATAATTTGACATGAATAATACTAAAATGCAGTTAAAGCAATAGTATGCAAAATAAAGTTCTGTTGTCCTGTTCGAATATCATCTGGATCAAATTTTAGAGCATGTATGAAGATGTTGGACAAATATTGACAACAAAGTAATGTTAAAAAGGAACATGAATCATATGAAAATGCAAAAGTTCTAGCTAAACTGTGCAAAACAAAATCAGCATTTTGATTCATGTGTTTGGAACCAAAAGTTTGATGTCTAACACAGTTTTGTTGTCTTGTGAGAAAGAGATTTTGAACGAATTTGACAGCAAATATTCTTCAAGTACCTCATTGTCATCTGAATCTAGATTGTTTGTCGTTGCTAATGTTAACAAGACTGAAGAAAAAATAGTGAGTTTGTATTTTTCATATCCAGACGAGAAACACAAGGTTCCGCTGATGGACCTGTGCAAAGACTCTTTGGTCATTTTTAGTTTGCAAGACTGGCATCTGACAAACTTTTCATTACTGAAATCAACCTTTGATTTACAATTGTCGCACAGGTAACTAAGTGCAAGTCCTGCTTGGGTGATTTTGCCTTCCCTTGTGATTTCATCAGAGTCTATCGCTGGCGCACAGTTGATGATGTCAGGAATCTGTGAAATGGTCGTCTGTTTTGTAGAGGTCATTGATTTTGCATTTTGGAAGAGTCTTGTGGATAAGTGAAGGATCTTGTAGCTTTTGTCAACTTCTAGTTTGGATACCAAATCTTCCCAAATGGTGAGCTTCATTGCAGCGGTAGAATCAGCAACTGTAATTTCTTGGCGTCTTATGGGCAATTCCCTCACTACTTGTACGTTTTCTTGAGACACTGATAAGACTCTGACCTCTACAGCAACCTAAGGAGACAAACACAGATGACATAAAATTCTAAAGAAAAAATCTTTTTACATTTCTGAGAATGACGCAAGTTTTGTATTACAACTTGGTATAAAAAGTTTGTCTACCAAATATTTTGACTTGTAAACAGTGTGTGTGTTTCGAGGGTTTTCAATTTCATACTTAAAAATTTGGTACCACTCTCTACTCTAAATTTTAGACATAAAAAACTACTATGCTCTGCATTTTCTGATTTTGAATAAGAGGGCAAAAGTGGGCTTTTTAATTTAATATTCTTAATAGCAACTAAACATTTAATTTTTTTTATTTTTTTAAAGAAAGTCTTGATAATACCAAAGCAAAATTAAGAACTATTTTTTTTTTTTTTTTTTTATACAGACCAATGGTAACTGGGGGTGCACAAGAGGCCTTATAACTTCGAATTCATAATAGAATATCGTTTTTTCCAATGAATACCTTATTGAATTCCGGGGTGGCTTGGACCTCTGCAAGGGTTTTGACTTTTTCCCCCGTATTGTCATCCTCCTCTGGAGATTTTTTGTAGTTAAAGTCAAGAGTTCTACAAACTTCTATCTTGGTTTTGTAGTTTAACAAAACTTCAGATTTTGAGGCGTCAATCCTGCTGGGAACAAGTTGTACATCCGACAATTTAAGGGGAGTTTGTGCTCGACTAGCATCCGTAAGAACGGAATGTTTTGAAACATCGAAACAGGCGATTCTGTTGAACTCATTCCTTTTGGTTTGAACAACTGCATTGAAGTACCGAGAATTCGTCCTACTTGTGCGAATAGGAGAAACGTTTTGCACGAAACCCGATACAGTTGTTTTATCCTCTTCTAGCTTTAACTTTTTCGGTGCTGACATCTTGAGAGTTGATTTCGTTCGCTGAATATTGTGGCGGGAAAAAAGGGACGCTATCTACTCGCCAATTGATGCGTCGATTTACCCAAAAGGACCCAAAAGAATTCAAAAAGACCCAAAAGGCCTTAAAATAAAGAGAATTAATGGATGAATAATAAATAATTACATATTTTATTAAAACTAATTTTTTCTAGGGAAAAATTTGTGTTTGGGGTTGGGGTGGGAGGTCCCCCACCGACCTCCACCCCACCCATCCCCGATAACATTTACCTAGAAAATGTCATAAAATAAAACTTATTTCTTCATTTATCAAATATTATTTAGTAAATTTATGTTTCAATTTATTCAATAGATGGAGACAATAATACTTTATTAATTTCAGCTAAAAGAAATTAAAGCACATCTAACCAGATTTCGTGTTTGGTGTGTTGTAAAAGTCGCATGTTTAGTTATTTCTTTATGAAAAGTTGCAATTCTTGCCAAATTTTAGGTAAACATGTAATATAATATTCATAATGAAATTCAAATGTTTAATTTTCAATGTATCATAATATATCGATTAATTTGAATTCTTTTGATTTCCTTTTGGATTCTTTTGGGTAAATCGACGCACTCCTCGCCAATTCCAAATATGTTAAGTCGGACTTAAAAATGTCGGATTATATAATGTTTTTTTTTTTTTTATTTTACACCTATATCAATTAATCAAACCATTGCGTTAAAGAAATAGAAATAAATAGTTCGATTTTGTAACAATGTGCATTTGTGTAGTCGTAAAATGCCTTGATCAAATTTTACGAGATTGAGTAGAGGAAAATATAGATCTAGACCAATATAACACACTTCATTTTACTAAAAGAGGGTGCTGTAGGCGTTGTAATTTTCCATGAAGTCTACCGACAGATATATATTTAAAAGCTGTTTAAGGTCTTTCACCCGTAATGACATCGGCAATTTTTGTAAAATTTCGTGTTATTTCGGATTTCGGGACCCCCCCCCTTTCCCCTCTAAAATGCCCGTATAATAATGGTAAGGAAAAAAAAAATGGCGGCCTCCATGCAAGACCAAGATGGCCGAGGCGGATTTATGAAATCACGGTCACTTTTAACAAAAAGAAAACGTCAAGAGTGATAATTGACCATAATTATTCTATTGGAGGTGTATATAATACGGGAGGTTAGTCTCCACCAAAAATCCTTGGAAACGCGAGCAAGGACAGCAGGAAGAAAGGTCGGCGGATCATTGAATTAGACTGTCTTCTGTCTGCATCGTTATACTGTAAAAAATGTTTACTTAGTCCTGTCCCGTTGAAATATGACACGATGGTAGGAGAACTAAAGAAAGGTTTAAGCGGATACCTGTATGTAATGTGTTCAAATGTTGATTGTCGACACGTAAACAACGTACTGTACCATACCGGAAAACATACAGGATGACAAAAAATGGAATGCCTCGTTTTTGTGAATACAAAGCTAGGTAAAGGTAATGGATCTCATTGAATTTTTACACGTTTGTAATAATATGATAAAATTTAAAAAAAAAAACACACACACACTTGCGTGTATGTTGCCCAGTTATGCATACTAATTTTGTATATGTGGTTTCTAAAACATGTACATGACTTTCACAGCTATGATAGACATCAAAGAGGGCTTGGATAAACTCAACAATATCTTGTCAACATTAAATATACCAACAATAAGTTCCAAACATCTGAAAAGTATGGAAAGGCGTGCTGGTGAAGTGATGGAAGAGGTGGCCAGAAAATTGACAAATACAAATACAAATACAAATACAAATACTTTATTGGCACAAACACAATTACAATAATTGGCAAAGGCCCACTGAACAACATTAAATAATGTTTACATATTTTTTCAAGAATTGTCAAGTAATTGACTTCTAAGATCAAAACAGTCTCTGATATATTTAACAGTAACTTTCAAGACTTTTTGTATATTACTGTTTATACATAATTGTAGCATATATTTCTCATTGCTAAGATTAATATTTTTCTTTGTTATGTTATAAATATTACTAAAGAATGCGTTTCTTAGCTTAGAGTAAGAATTACAGTGAAAAAGAAAATGTATTTCATCCTCAATCACACCAGTATTACAAACATTACAATATCTTTCATTTCTTGATGTGGAAATATATCTACCACTTTCTATTGCAAGTTTATGTGCGCTTAGTCTAATTTTACTAAGAGAGGATCTCTCAGATCTTTTTTTGAGTAAATCAACATAAGGACTTCTTTTTCCTGAGTATACTTTCTTGAAGAGATCAAGTTTTTCTGAACCAAAGATTTTTGATGTTTGCTCTTGAGTGCACTGATCTATGATTCTTTGTTTAATGTTTGGTAAAAGGTGTTGGATGGAACCTGTATATTTTATAATGTTAGAGAATCCAAGATTATCAAGAATAGAAAATAATTTCTTAGTCCAAGAATTACAGTTAATTGTGGATTGGTAAAGTTTAAAGGCCAAAGAATCAGAAGTTTTCAGGTGATTCCAATATTTGATACTTGAGAGGGAAATTTTGGACCAAAGTGGTAGTCTTTTAAGTTCTGCTAAACAACCAGCATTGGATGTTTTGCAGTGCACTCCAAGGATGTCTTTAATGAATTTTAAGTGAAAATTTTCAACATTTGAAATATCTTTGGATGAGAGATCCACTCCCCATATTTCACTACAATAGAGAAGAACTGGAAGTACAATAGCATCAAAGAGTTTTTCTAAAAGTTTACATGGGTTATCAAATCCAATAATTCTTTTCATTTTAAAACATGCTTTTCTGGCCTTTTCAATAAGCACAGCTGTTGCTAAATTAAACTTCCTATTACATTTCATCATAATACCTAAATAACAGTATCTTGGTACAATTTGTATTGCATTACCATTAAAACTAAATTCATTTCCTTGAGGCTTGCCATTTGAATTAAATATCATAACTTTAGATTTATCTACATTAACTTGGAGTTTCCAATTTGAGCAATAGTTACTGAGAATATCAAGACTGGTTTGTAAACCGCTTTTGCTTTCTGAGAAGATTACAATATCATCAGCATATAACAGACAATTTACATGCATATTGTTTACTTGTACAGGATCACAATTTCCATTTTGTAAGTCATGGACAATACCATCAATAAAAACATTAAAAAGTGTGGGGCTTAAGACATCCCCTTGTTTGACACCACACTCAGAATTGAATACATCACTTAATCCATCAGAAAATTTGATTCTACTCATTGTATTACTATACATTGAAAATAAAATATTGAACATTTTTTGGGAAATATTACATTCAAGAAGTTTATAAAATAAACCTAATCTCCATACAGTGTCAAATGCTTTTCTAAGATCAATAAAAGCAGCATAAACCTTTTTGTTTTTGTAGTGGTCAATTATTGTTTTTATTGAGAATAAATGGTCTGATGTTCTACAATTTTCCTTGAAACCAATTTGGTTTTCACTTATCAGTGATGCAGAGTTTACAAATTCAAGTAGCCTAGTATGTATTATTCTGTTGAAAAGTTTTCCTAGATTTGAAGTAATTGATATACCTCGGTAGTTATTAGGATCGAGCCTATTACCCGACTTATACAGTAAAACTAAGTAGCTCTCATTCCAACTTTTTGGGAATATACCAGAATTAAGTATAAAGTTAAATAATTTTTCAAGAGGTTTCAGCATTACAGATCCCCCATTTTTTAACATTTCATTTGATATCATATCTATAGAAGAACTCTTTCCATTTTTCAGGGATTTAAGGGCATTCCTTATTTCAGCGACAGTAATTTCTGGTTCAAGGAAATGGTTATGATGTAGTTTTTCTTTCAAGACATGAAATTTATCTATTATACTTTTATGAAAATTATTGTGATTGTTGTCAGCTTTGTTAAGTTTTTTAAAAAACTGATAAAATTCCTCAGGGTGAACATCATGAGATGAAATTTGTCCAGTATTGATTTTATTATCTAATTTATTGAGTAATTTCCAGAATGACTTTGGATTTTTATTAATATTGTTGTTAATGTCATTACATATTGTGTTTCTGTAATTTTGCTCCTCAAATTTACATAATCTTCTGTATTTTGCCTTGTATGTATAGAACATTTTCCTATATTCTCCATTAAAAGGGTTCTTGTTTACAAGTTTTTCATAATTTTTTACTGTAATTCTCAGATCAGAACATGACTGTGAGAACCACGGTTTTTTCTTATTTTTACGAGTTTTATGCCTAGGTCCTCTCTTAATAAGTTTAGTCGATATTTTTGCACATTCAACAAGTATTGAGCTGAAGGCTTTTGAAATGGAATCACTATCAGAAAATTCATCCCTCAAAAATTCTGAAAATTTAATTTGGAATAGATTGCTGTGAATATTTTTAGTGTAGGATTCTATTGCATCATTATTCCACAAAAACTTTCCAGGAACTGGTTTTAAATTATTTGAGTTATTTGAGTTTGGTTCTGAACAGAAGCTGTCGAATATTGCACAACTAATTGGACAATGGTTTGATAGGGAAGTAAAATCTAGTACTTCAAAATAACCAATTGAATTTAGAAAGTCTTTTGATACAAGACAATAATCAACTAGACTGCAACCATTATAGGTTATACAGGTGGGTCGACCTGTTAGATCACCTGTTGTTCTACCGTTTAAGATTCGTAAACCCGATTCTTTACAAAGGTTCAGAAGATTTTTGCCACTATTGTTAATGTGCTTGTGGTCAAGATTATTTCTTGACAAAATTTTATCTGGTTGATAAAGAACATCATCTGAATTAATACGTTCAGAATCAAATATAACAAAATCAGGTTGGGTATTGGTGTAGGCATTGAAGTCACCTTGAACTATTACGTCACCGTTTCTACTATATTTTACTATGTCACTTAGTAAAACTGAATATATTTGTTCAATGTCATTCACATTGCCATTAGAATATTGGGGAGATATATAAACTACTGCAAGATAAATATCTCTTTGTAATCTAAAGAAACTTTGATCAAGTTTGATCCATAAAATATCTGGATGACTATTGTTAATTGGTATAATACCACTTATAATTGTAGGTTTTGCATAAATATGTATTCCACCGGAATATCGTCTTGCCTTTTTATGTTTTTTTCTAGAGCTTGAGTGAACTAAAATGTGATTGGGAAATGCACTGCCTTGATTTGTTTCACCTAACCAGGTTTCAACTAGGCTAGCTATGTGAAATTGTGACAACTGCTCTTGAAATAGGGGGTCTTGGATTTTTTCACTTGAAAGGCCCTCTATGTTCCACATACCCAACTTCAAAAAATTTGAATTATTTGCAACATGTTTGGAATATTTTTTCATGGTGTAATATTAGAGATAAAGGATACTGGATTACTCATTTTGAAATTATAGTACATATATTTATATATATATATATATATAAAAAAAAAGATGATTTTATCGACAAAGAAGCATGTCTTCTAAGATTACGAATTTAAGAAATATTCGTATAATAGTAACCACATTATACTTATTAAGTAATACATCAGTAAAGTATACAATTATGTGGTTTATGAATTACACTAAACAATAAAATGGATAAATGGTAGTATTAACTACATTAGTAACTGTAGATTGAAGCAAATTCTAGTGCACATAGATCAGTTTGATATCAAAGTTGAAAAACATATCTAAAAGCATACTAAAAATTACAAATATAAAAGTATTAATTGAAACATCATTTCTTAAGCAGTATGATATCTTAGACAACATGATCAATGAAAGTTAATAATATAACAGTATTCTGATATAAAATAAACAGTTTCCCTAATAATGTAAGTATTAAAGATAATTTTACAGGCGCAGAGGACATATGATATGTCAACGATGGAATTGAGGGATTGACCAAGGTGGGTTCCAGGGATTCATTGGTGGGTAAAACCATGGCATAATGTTCGGTTGGCTGGGAGATGTGGGGCCACGTGTGGACGCGTTCATTCGTCTGTTGAATTTGTTATATTTTGCGGTTCTTTCTCCCAAATTTGGGGCGGGCTTGTGTTGGTTATTCCCCCTCTCCCGTGTGATGTTTAGAGCAACTTTCAGGTGCTTCACAATGGCCGGTAGGCCTTTTTTGAAGTTTAAATGGATGTTGTCATGGAACATATCATCTGTGGGTTCAAATGGGTCCACCATTTTCACGCTGGGATAGAGACAAGTGGCAGTATGAATTTCATAGTTTGCCCGATCCACCATACTGTTTTCAATATCTTTTCTGTATAGTATTGGAAGCAGAAATATTTTTGAATTCCTCCATGATGATGTGCACAATTCTAAAAGGTGCTTAAAATCTTCTTCTTTCACATTGCTGTTAGCGAGATCCCTCGTTCCTATGTGAATCAACACTGATTTGGGGTTGAATTTGTGACTGTGCTTCTTGACGAAATCTGAACACAATTTTGCTCCTCCTCTTATGAATCGTATTACAGTCTTTCCTTCGGGTGTAAATCGTTTGGGTTGAATTTTTCTAAGTATAGAATCACTTAGGATGAGGATGTCACAGTCTGTAGTGCTGTTCATGGCCTCACCAGTTATAGGCAATTTTTTGTCTGATGTGTTGGACAGTGTTTTACCCTCAGGGGAAGGATTTACAGTCGAATCGTCTGTAGGTTTATCATAGTTGGTTGGCTGCATTGGTTGTGGTTCTTGTTCATGTCGTGTTGGGCTTGTGTTTACCCTGGGAACAGAATGTTCACTGAGATGGTTTGCATTATAGTCAGGGGCAAGCCAAGATGTTTTTGACACTTCAAGCTGTTCAATGCGGTCTTGAAGGTTTGTGATCTGTGACTGAAGAGTTTCAAGTGATACTGTATGCCCTTCTTGTAACCCTATAATTTCTTTCAATTGATTATCCAGGACATTGGTCTTCACATGTAATGAATCAATAGCAGAGTTGCAGTGTTTGACTTTGGAGTCAATAGAGTCTAATTGTTCATGAAGCTTTTTCTTATGCGTGTTTAGATGGTCCACAAAAAGTGACTGGGACAATTCTGGTATTCGCGAGATTTGGCCTTTGACCAAGTTCAGTTGAGAAAGTTTTTCAGCAAATGATTTGAGAGTGTTATCAATTACTGATAGCATGTTGTGGACTTCGTTAAATTTCATTTCTATAGTTTTACTATGCTGCTGTACTTTTTCTTTAGGTGTTATTTGTCGTTTAAGAGCCTGACCTGATTTTTTGATTGGAGTGGATTGCGAGAAGTCTGTATTGATTGTTTCGCTTTCAAATGCTGCTTTTAATTCAGTTTCTGAATTGTTCAATGTAGCTAGTTCATGTTCACTGTCAATGTATGTGTCACTCGCCGTCTTAGAAATGTCTTGTGTATTGGCTGTGTCGTGGCTCAGGGCTTTGTTAATCTGTTCTTTTACAAACATATCCAACTTTGAGAAATATGTATCATGGAAACTTGAGCATGTCGCTCCTTGTATATTGACACTCCCTGTATTATAAAAGCTGAATTTCACGAAGTTTTTGTCGTCATACTTGACTTTGACCACACGATTGTTGTTTATCAAGTTCGCCTTCGTTTCACCAAAGAACAGAATGATACTTTGTTTCCAAATATCGATATTTTCAACTTCAACTTTGAAGGTAATGTTATTTATCTTACCGTCACATTGCAAATGTATCTTTGCATCAGTATTGTCGTCGGAATTCACGACATTATCGATGTCGTCTCCTGTAAGACATTCGTCAAATTTTGACGGAAGTTTATGGATGCGTGATGTTGCCATGACTGTTCAATGTTCAATTTGCAGCGTAATTATCCAGCATCCGATATCAAACTATACTTAAAACATGATCAACATAAAAAATGTTGTGTTTTCAAACGTAGATACCTGATGATTTAATTTTTACTCTCAGCAAAATTTTCTGAAGATGCTGCTTCGCCGGAAGCGGAAGTAAACAGATAATGCAGCAGTAGAAGCATTCAAGATGGAAATGCAGTAGGAATATTTTATGTAGTATATTGTTATACCTTTAAAAAATTGTTCCTATACAAATCTATACAGAAAAAAGTCTAATATTTTTAATGTTTTGCTTAGCGGGCATAAAAAAATCGATGTTGGACCGCTGAGTGAGATGTTGGACTGCTCGGAGAGATGTTGGACCGCTTACGTCACAGAATGGGTGGAGCTTAATCTCATTTTCATTCTTTGGTTTTAAAAAGTGACAGATCTAATGTTACATTACGGAGTATAGTACAAAATACATGTGTGTCAAAAAATATATAATAAAATGAAAGGTATAACAAAACATTTATTGACAGAGTTCTCTGGCAAAATGCGTTTTGTCAGACCCTCAAACCAAACTGTCTGCCTTCGGCCTAACGGCCTCAGGCAGACAGTTTGGTTCTTGGGTCCGACAAAACGCATGTTGCCCTCGAACTCATTCAATAAATGTATAATGTATCACAAAAATGAATATATTTCTGACACAATTTTATGGATATGTTATTTTGTCCTCTGTGTATAATTTGATTTTTTGTACAGAGAAATTGCGAAAGATGAGTCGGAACAAACGTTAGCAGCCATGGGTCCAGTAGTTGAAGATCTTAGTGTTTGTCCACTCCCAGATGCTTCTCCGTCAATCAGGTTCATAGAAATTTGTAAAGCCGCATGACAAATATCAAATATTTATAATCAGTGATTCAGCATGTAAATTGTTAAAAAAAATCTCCGTCATAATAAGAATCAGGTACAAAAATTTTTTAAGTACTGAAAGCTTTGAATTCAATTTATTGTAACTTAACCTTGTTCACATTTTAATTGCAGACAAGTATTTTCTACTGCCTTCAATGAAGTGACTGGTGATGATGCTGCAGACCAAAACAAAGGTGATATAGTTGATGTTGGTGATGATGAATGGGAAGATTTGCCAAATGAAGGGTGATTATTCTTTTATTCTTAACTTATGTGTTATGTTAAACAGTGCCAAAGAATGTACTGTTTTAAAGTTTTGTAATTTGTTTGAAATTATTTTGTAGCAGTTCTCCACCAATGAAACACCATTACAAACTGAAGAAGAAAGAAGCCAGAAAGAAGACATCTAGATCATCAAAAGGCACAAAAAGAGCATTATATTTTCCATGTAAATCAAGATCAGGCATGACTGTTGCTCTGGATACAGCATGACAGAAACACAGTTTTGACAGTCTTTCTTGTAAGTATAGCAACTAACATGAACTGAAACAGAAATTAAAATTAATACTGCTTAAATATATGTGGTAACATATTTTCTCTAATTATTTTATTAGCTCATACATTTTTCATGAGTAAATCTAAATACGGTAAGAAAGTTGTTAAGTCTATTGTAAATCATAGAACTTGTGGGGTATGTAAATGGTGGCAGAGAAATGAACCAGGACTTCCTGTCAGAAAACATAGGTGTGTACGCAATCATGTAGGTAGTACCAAACTCATGGAGAGCACAGACAGATTGATTGGTGTGAAAGAACTTGCAGCCCAGGGGACACCTGTAGAGTGTATAGAAGGGGATGGTGACAATACTCTGATAGCTCGCAATAAAAATTTTCTCAACATCTCTTTGAAGAAGTTTGATAAGAACCATGTCCTGAAAAACATTGGGAAGAGTTTATATGCACTGCATGCGGAAAAAGGTATAAAACTGAGCAAGACTGTTATTTTACATATTTAGAAGTGTCTCAAATATATATATTTCCCAAAAATAATGGAGATAAGGACAAGTTACGACAAAATTTGAGAGCCCTTATTCCCCATCAGTTTGGAGACCATTAACTTTGTGAAGATAAATTTTGTGGCTTCAAATGTATTCCAAGTGAAACCTATGTTCACAGAAGCCTTCCATACAAGGCTGCCTTGAAAGATTATATACTTCGTTCAAGACTCGATAGTTTATACCAGCCTATTATTGCTAATGCAGAGCAATATGCAGACCTTGGTTCAGCCAGCAATGTGAACATGCGAATAGAGAAGTGACTCTTAGGACACAGAAATCTCTTCATTATGGTTATTCGGAATCGTTAGATTTCAGAGTGCATGCAACAGCAGCATTTATAAATGAAGGACGACGTTACATCTCACAGGATCATTCAGTTGTTCACAGAGTGTTTGTTACGAGTTTTTTTTTCCCGAGTTTTTTTGTGTTGGGTTTGTTTAAAGTTGGTTTTTTTTTAATAGCATTTTATACTTTTACAAATTTATGTAATTTACTTATTAAACATTTCTTTTAATTCTTTCATTATTAAAAGAATAAATAAAAACAGCTAAATGCAGTATTTTAGCCCTATTAAACAAGTTTATTTGTATTTTTCATTATCTAAATTACATTCAATAGGTGAACACGACTGCTGGGCTATATCCTGGTACACACACTGAACAGTATGCCACAAAGATGACAAAGAAGAGGAAAGCCATGCAAGAGAAGTCACAACTACAATCAACAAAATGCCAGAGAATGATCCTTAAGCAAGAGCGCGCTATTGTTCAGAGTTCATCTGAAGTTCTGGAGGGAATTTTGTACCAATCAGGTAAGTTCTCTGCTATTGAATCTACAGTCCTTACTAACAGTATTATTTTTTTATATTATTCTCTGTTTTTAAGTATTTCACAGTCTTCACGAAAACTAGCTGGTCTGAAGACCGAGGCCAGTGAATTTTGATGTTGGTCAGTGAAAATCAAAATTCAAGAAGTCCGATGGGCTTGTTGATACAAAAATCATACACAGTCATTGAATATATATCTTAACTGACTTACTTGCATACATTTCATTGATATAATATAAAAAGAACAAGCACGCGTTGTTGAATGGTATTATAGACGACTTTCACATTTACAAAAGTTATTCCCCTTTGAAGTGTCAATATGGGGTCAACTGGCATAAGGCACTGTTTTCCCTATATAACCTTACCAACTTTATGGGTCAGTATCTTGGAATTAGAATCTGTATGAATATTTTCATTGCATTTTTCATATTGCTCCATATTCTGGCAATACAGGTGCTGATCGAAATTTTCAGATTACGTTTTGAAGATTCAAAATAGTAGCAGGTAAGTTATATAGGACAAAGTGGGAAAAATGAGCATTACGCTGACAACGGGAGATAACTCTTAGGAATGTGAAATTCGTCTATTGTAACCTGGATGTATTACGTACCAACCGGAACTAGCTAGTTACTATTAACTGGTACACAAAATGTGCGGATTTCCAACGAACAGCTTACCAAAACCCGACAAATGACGAAAAATAGCGGCATTGAAAAGTCGAAGTACGTAAACATGTATAAATTTACAGTTATGAAAATGTATTTATTTTATTTTTTAATTTAGGGGCCAGTAAATATTGTGTGGGCCATTAAATTTTTAAAGTTCACTGGTCTAGTTTAAAAAGTTTTCGTGAAGACTGATTTCAAGACACATATATTTCCTATACTTTTAATTCAAATATTGTAAATAGGTATTGGACATGATGCTGATACTGATATTGAAAGTTTACCAGAGGCCATACCGAGGGGCATTTTTAAGTCCATTAGTTTTAGGGAAGGAGACATTGCATCCTTTGTAACTTTTGACTTGGAAACTACTGACCTCAGTAAGATATATATATTTATATGTATATTATTAATAAATGTACACCTTTTTTAAATTAGTACTTGTAGAAAAAAAATAAAACAATTATATGGATTGTATATAATTATTTAGTTCATGGATGAATATTCTCTCATATGACACAAATTGCAGCCTATGAACTTCATTCTGGAGCTACTTTTTCTGTTTATGTGACACAAAGATTGCCAATATCAAGTTCTGTTTCGAGGGAGGAAAAAGCAAGAAATCTACCATCTCTGAATCCTCATATCAGCCATGGAGTGATGAAAATGTGTACTGCAGAAAATGTTGCTGGTTTTTGCTTACAGCTCACCCATCTAAAAAAGATCTTTGAGTTGGATGGAGAAGAAGGACTTAGAAACTTGTTCATTGCATCAAACTCAGAGGGACAACCACGAGTAACAAATGTAAAGAGAATTCTTGAGTGTTTTACCAAAATTGGTAGATTATTTTGTAAAGAATTAATCTTCAATTATGTGCTGTGAAGAGATGTATATGCATTATCTGTCAATATATTTGATGCATGTATTTCTTTTACATCACTGTACTCTTGTACATAGATTGTATATTTGTATAAATTGTAGACATTTTCGTTACAAGCTTATAAGTAGATACAGTGAAAGAAGATTTGACAATTTTTATTCATGTAGTTTGTCATATTTAGTGCTTTGTATACATTGTATGCTGTATAGATAGATAAATGTTTTTTATTGGGTGTATATATAATATGTGCCTAAATCTGTGTTGATAAGACAAAGGAATGCTTACAAATTATTGGAAAGTATGTTATGTTCCAAATGTTTATAGTTGTTGTGGTAATCATAGTAAAATGCACATTTTAATGATTTTGAGCAATAAGAATTGTCCCCCCCCCCATGCTTTTCATTTATTTCCAGAAGTTGTTTTTGTCCAACAGAACATTGAAAAACTTAAAAAACAAAAAAAGTTATGAAAACACAAATTTTGAAAATTTATCGATTTTAAAAAAATTCAGTGTCAGTGAAAATGTCAACAGTAAAAATTATTAAACGTTGCTTTTTGATATGTATTGTTTTTAGATTTCTAGGTCCTGTCATAGTTATAATCAATATTCAAGTTTTATTTGGTTGGTGCGAGTCAATCTGAAAATGATTGTAAAGTACGTTGCAATGTTTTAACCTGGATAATTTATAATAAATGTAGTAAAAGAAAAAAATTTGTTATTATTTTAATAAAAGACAACTTTAATGTTTTTCGATTATTTATTTTTGCTGCTCATTGAAGACAAAAAAATATATGAGTTGATTTTGATCATAACATGAAAGTTTTTGTTGGATTGGGGGTGGCTATGTTAAAATCCAAACAACTCTAGAAATAAACTGTAAAAAATTTTAAAACTTGATCAATATATCGCTAGAATGATACTCTTTAAGAAAATATTAAGCTTGGTTGATTTCTCAAAATCGATCATGCATGGCATTGAATACTTATAGGGACAACTCAAAGTTTTAACTGACAGAAATGGAATTTTACTTTTTATTATTTTTTGGAAGGCTTTTCTGAAGGAAGACGTTTTTAAATAATATGTTTTATATGTGTGACCGTTGCGGTGAGCGCAGGAGGAACTATTCGTCTTTCATCATTGTTATATGCAACCCATGGACTTGCCCTAACCTAAAACTTTGGGGTTTTTTTTCGAAAACTTTTACGGTCACCCCTGCAAACAACCCGAAGTTATAAATATTTATTCCATTTGTCCTATCCTAGGCTAAAATTCATAAAAACTCTGACTTAGCAATAATTTGGAAAATGAAAACTTGTATTAAATTTCATTTCATTGGTTTTGCGAAAGCAAGGGGACATTAAATCTCATTTGTCTGTGCATCTGTCCGTCAGTGTGTCTGTCCGTCACAAAAACTTTAACCTTGCCCATAACTTGATTTAGTGGAGCTATGACTTTGATATTTCATATGTATATCTCTTAAGACAAGACCTTTCTTTGGGTACTACCAAATTTGACCTTTTGACCTTGACTTTGGAGTTTGACCCAATTTTACACAAAAATTCCAAACTTTTACTTTGGCCATAACTTTTGAACAGTAGATACTAGAACTTTCATATTTCACATATGTATTCTTTGTAGGAAGACCTTTTATTGGATACCAACAACTTTGACCTTTTGACCTTAACCTCGGAGATTTCCAAATTTGTAAGAAAACTAACCTCGGCCATAAGTTTTGAATGGTAAAAGCAAGGGCTTTCATACTTCACATATATAATTCTAGTGTGAAGACCTTTCATTGAATGCCAAGAACTTTGCCTGTTGAACCTTGGAGTTTGACCTACTTTTCAAAAAGTTTTACCTTGGCCACAACTTTTGAACAGTAGATACAGAACTTTTAAATTTCACATACATGTATGTATTTATTGTGGCAAGACCTTTCATACGATACCAACAAGCTTGACCTTTTGACCTTGACCTTGGAGATTTTTAGTATTTATGAGAAAACTTCTTGCTTGACCATAAGTTTTGAATAGTAAGGGCTAGGGCATTAATTCACGTATGTAATCCTTTTGAGAAGACTTTTCATTGGATATCAACCCTTTGACCTTGACCTTGGAGTTCAGTGATAATTTCTAAATAGATGACTTATGATAGGGCTTTCATATTATACGCAAAATATCATAAAAAATGACATCTCACCCAAAAAGACACCGAAAGCAGGGGACCACAATTCTTTGAATTTGCTTTTTGCATTTAAATGCAGACACTTTTGAATATGCTATTCTTTAGATTAGTTCTCAAGATAGTTCTCACAACTGTCGCAGGTTTCATGAAATGAATGTTTATAATCAAATCATTTTTATGCTTACACCAATTAAAAAAATGCGGTTTTAAGGCTGTATTTAAAATTTTATTTGATTTCAAGAATTAACAAATCTTTTGCATTATTAGAAGTAAAATGTTATACATGCATGTACATTAATTAGTACAAATTAAAAATTGAATTTTGATACATTTTGAGTACATGTATATAAATTAAAAGTTGACACTTAAGCTTTGTTAAGAAGCGATCTTAATGAAGAAATGTCTAACTAGTGACAATTCAAGATCAAATATATTCAGTATGGATTTTAAACAACATTAAACTCAAGAATGAATGTTTCATGAAAAATAAAACAGCATCAAAACTTTAAACAATGCATTCATGATATGAATATTCTTAAATATGCAGTTTACAAAAAGAGAATATAATTACCACTCAATATAATAATCTTTTCCTACGAAAATCGAAAAAGGGAAAGATTATGAGAGTGAATTAGAAAGGGAAACAATGTACATACCTTTCCCAATGAAAGCGAAAACGAAAACGGGAAAGGTTTGTGTGTAAGTGATTAAAAAAGATTTTTCAGGTTTTACCAATGTGCATAGTACCTTAAGTTTACATAATTGCATTACCACTGAACCCCTGATTCAAAGAATCTTGTTAAACAATTTAGGGGAGCACTTTTATTTGTCATAAGTTTTTTATTATAGATGTAGCATATTTTATGTGCAATTATATTCAGGAGTAATTTTTGTCTTCTAAAAGAGGTAGGTTTACCTCCCTTTATGGGCTGGCCATTGACCTCCTCTTTCCATACTTACCTTTAAATCATAGATTTTGTACACATTAAATTTGATCTTTAGTCCCCTGATGTTCTCAAAAATCTACATGACTTGATACGTCTTATTCATTTGAATCAGGGAATCTGAGTTTTCATATATAAAATTCAATTGACTGTGACAATGTAGTGACATTTTTAAACTGTAAGCATTGTATGTTATTCACACAAGTTTTTTAAGAAGCATAATTTACAAAGAAGTTGATAGTACAAATAAGATATATTATTATTATTAAGTAAAATATAATTAATATTTTGTATGTGCAATCTTATCATGTTTTCTTAACTTATAATCAAATTAAGAAAACTAAACAACCATGCAGACACAAATCCAAAGTAATAGAGCAAAAAATATTTCAGCAAAAGATTAAAGGCATGCAGTTAATGGAGACATCCAACTTAGTGGTTTTCACATCCTCTAGGGTGACATTTATTTAATTTTTGCAACGGTATATCTGGAAATAATTACGAGAAGATGGGTATCCCACAAAGTAGCTGGAAGAGTCAGATCGAATCACAGTTAATGGCATGCTCTAGAGTCACAATCACGTACTGCAGTATATCAAAGAGTGTCCTTCAATATTCAAGAATTTTTCACAAAATATCAAATATAAAAGAGTTCCCAACACTAAATTGTGTTGTCAGTATTTAAATCCAAATGTCATATCAAGGGACAGATGATTCTCAATTTCTGCAACATCATTATTTT